GAAAAGGGTTTGTTTGGGTCCAGTAGGCTCTAGTCCCTGGGCGATAAAGGTGACTTTTGCTAAGTTAAACGTGCAGATAGCAACCAAACTCACAAGAGACAGACTTTCAAAGATGTTGGCTTTTCGGTTGCGGAATGGCTTCATTAGGAGATGATGCACCAAAATCAGAACACATGCAATTCCTAAACAGACGAATCGTGTCAAAGGATCGGTGATGAAGGTACTAATGGTTAGAAGAAGAAACCTTCGGCCAATCAGAACGCTTTCCCAGTACAAAGTACCATGGCCACCTTCAGCAGCTGGACGGAATGGTTCATGGAGAACTTTCTTTATGTCTTCGGTATCTTTAAAGTTGCCTAGAATGAGGTCATACTGGTTTGTATTTACCTTTCTCTTGCAGCAACGAAACCACCAGATTAAAAGAAAGGGCAGAGGGAATGCACACGCTATCAAGAACTCTTTGGTGGACAATTTGTCTTTGGAAAGCATCAGCGATCCCCAGAAGAGGACGAGAACCAGGGGAATTATGAATGCCAAGATAAAGACAATTTGCATGTACTGCCACCACTGCCAGCACTGAATGTTACCATCTATGAACAGACGCCACTTCAGCTCTACCGGAACACAGTGCATAAGCTTAAGGGATGTATCGGCAAGAGTCTTGTATCCAAGTAACAGGGCCTCCAGCACAACAGCCAGGTATAGTTTCAGCGAGGGCTTTGGAATGGGGCGAAACCTGCTTATGACTCGATGGATGGCGTAAATCATGGCAATGGAGAGCAAGGTCGCCAGGAACTTCAAGGTCAAAAACAGCTCCTTGGTGACTACATTGAAGCCAGGGAATGGGCATCCAATGCTGCCTTTAAGAGTCCTCACCTGGAAATTAAACAGAGCAACGAGTGTTGTAATAATGGGAATTACGCGAGCAGTTGTCTCAGTAGACGTAATCGTCAGTATTTCGGCAACTTGATAAAAGTAGAAGATGATCTTCAGATACCCAGCATCGTGTTTACCACTGCTGCCTCTATTTGGAGCATCCTGTCTGCAGTCAGAATTGGGTGTCCTCTTGAACCACATACCTTGCCGATACAACCACGGGAAGACAGGAGGCTTGAAAACTAGGTACAGTGCAAATAGTAGTACGTACAGCAGGCTCGCCAACCAAAACCAGTGATCATGGCACTTTTCTTTCTTTTTGCATGACGTGGAATACAAGGCTTCACTGTATCCCTCAGCACATTTGCCACATAATACACCTGTCCTTTTACCATAACAACCATTGTACGCGTAGGCGTTTGGATGTGCTGGAGTTTTGCAGTATTCCAATGGACATGGAATGAATTGCAGAGTGGATGAGGTTGTGTTAATTTTGGAGCCCCAAAAGTTTTCTTGAGCCAAAACTTTTCCATGCTCACATTTTGCTCCGTAAGGACACTTGATGCACTTTGTTTCCTCGTGAATATGGAAGCCACTGGCCCACCCTCTCTTTAAGCTGTAGAAACCATCCGGACATTCTTGACAAAGTAATTTGACATACTGCACGCTCATCCAGCAGGTTTCACTTCCCTTCACTAGTTCAAATCCATCTTCTTCGGTGATTTTCTCCAGAGTGATTTTCCTTCCGCTTGGACATAGAAAGGAGGATGAGTTATCGATCATTATGGAATTGCTTTTCGTAACTGCAAAGATTGGATCGAATTCCCTATTTTCATCAGCTGTAAAGGAGGATTGTTTAATTTTCATTTGACCAGCGCTCTCAGATAGAAGAAAGCAACCAGTTCTCGATCCACGGTTACGTTCCTTCAAACTTGTTTGGTGGAAACTGCAATTAAGGATGTTTAGAATTCCAAAACCCGTCTTCTGGTACACGTGGCCTCCCAGAGCTACTCCTTCATTGTTGGTAAAGGTGCAGTTGTTCAACGTGACATTCCCATTTAAAAAGTTCAAAGTTCCAGCGATACCCACGTTGTTTTCAAAGTGGCTATCTTCAAAAAGTACGGGTAACTCAAACGTTTTGTTCCACATAAATTTCTCACTTTCGTGTCCTTTTCTTTTATGCGGACATAAGGGTGGATAGGCTTTCGTGAACTCAATTTGGACAATTGCTCGTTCGTCAAGTCGATTCACAAACTGATTGTTGTTAAGAAATCTGCAGTTTTTCACCGAAATCAGTCCACTCACATTCTTTTCAATAGTAACTGACAGTGCACAGTCATGTAATCCCTGAAAAGTAACGTTTTCAAGAAGTAGTTTTGCTTCAAAATCGGGTGACAAATATACTTCTTCTTTGCTTGGTTTCAGCACCGCACGGCTATAGTTCCGTTTAGGGAAACTCATTCCAAATCTGATTGCATCACCAGTGCCTAATGTTTCTTTACCTCCGAGAAAAAGACTGTTCCTTACAACAAGCGTTTGGTCACCGGTTGAACAATACCGAGCCGTATTATCTAAACAAGTAGTCGTTGACATCCTTATGCCAATCCGGTTGTTCACTAGGATGCACTTTTCGAGAAAAACCCTCACACCTGGCGCTTTGATTAATGTTTTAGGGGGAGCACTGGCCATAATGGCATACCCGTATGTGGAATTCACCGTCACGTTAGTGAAATTCAGGCCAAGTCCACCATGGACAAAGACAGAATTTTCGTTGTTGAGAAAGGACGTGTTTGATAATGATATACTCCCATTGCCAAAGAGGTTGTCAACTCTAACTGATACCGCGAAGCTGTTGTCTTCGTGGCCGAGCTCTTGGAAAATAGACTCAGTGATTGAGACTAATACATGAATTGGATACG